ATAATGTCTTGTACAACGGGGTGTGCGATAGACTTACCTTCACGTGGTGCACTGTGGGCAACGTATACTCATACGGCAAAAAAGTCTATAAATCGGCAGTTGACTTCGGACTTCAAACTACCATGACCCCATTGAATTTCATATTCAAATAATTCCTCAGTATTCATCTCATCTTTTTTCTACCTTTCTGTCCGTCTGTCTCTTTTACGTCTGTGAATCATTATTCTGTCCCCCTCTCGACTTTTTACCAGTTGGATGTTCCTCCTCCTCCCCTCTGTGAAGCCCGAAGTCAACTAAAGGGCTAATGATACCTATCATAATGCCTGCCATTTGAAATAAATAAATAAATAAATGTCTTGTACAACTAATTAACCAATATTCCAAAACAAGGAAGAGGTTTAATGCAATATGCTGAGTCATATTAGTTGGGCACATAAATAAGGAGGACAATTCAAAATGTTCATAATGCAAGTGAAGCACCATCCTCTACGTCCTAACTTAAATGAATAACTCCACCCGTTATCTCCCAAGTAAAGCTCCTATTTGTTGCAAGATTTATTCGTTATTATGTCTTATGACCTCCTAAAAAGTGAACAACACAAATACGCCCACAGCGTGTGAGACCCAAGATCAATGTCAAGTTATTTACTGAATGCGTCTACTTACCCTGAGTTGATCATGAACTACCTCAAGGCCATTAGTCTCAATTTCAGAGACATCACTATGAAGAGAAGCCCTAGAACCAGAAAGCTGTTTTTGTCTGGGAGAATGCATCCTAGCAGCAATATCCACTACTCTTTCTTCAGCATTGCCCAATTCACGTTGAAGGCTGTCGAGACGCGTGAGAATGACGTCAACTTCAGCCAGTCGTCGAGCAGTTGCTTTACCCGCAGTGGAAAGTTCATTAGCTGCAGCTAGCAGCGCGGAACATCCGGAGTTTTCACTGGGAGGTTTGCCAGAACCCGAAGTCGCCCGTTCTAAATGTTCTTTGATTTGATTGACAGATCTTGACCACTCCTGAAATGGTCAAATGTCATTTTATCCACAATTAATAAAAGTTTTTTAAAGAGCTGACAAGACTCCTTTCTCATTTGTCCATGCCTATAGATAGTACTGGAGCACATTACCTAGTTTCAAGGAATACTTCAACTGGTAAATAGTTTCATTCCAAAAACTACCATATTGGTATGCTAAAGTCCATTTCGTATTAGTTCGTTATTTGTAGTCTTTCAATGGTAGGCTCTTATGAATGTTGCTGAATGCAAATTATATGAAGTTTTAATAACTGTACCATGACTTACAGCTTTTTAATGAGAATAGGCATGTTAAGAAATAATTTAAAATGTACTCGTAGGTGGAAATGTATTTGTAAATATACCACAGAAAGTAAAACCGAGTGGCCACGTAGAGATACAATAATGAACTATTGGCTTTAGGAGCATGTCACACATTGAAAATCCACAAATGCAGAATAGTAATTCATAAAGCTATCAAAACATACCTTATGTTTTCTGAGTACGACTTCCAACTCTGGTATCTGGTTAGGTATGACCAGATCATTTCGTTTTCTCAGATCCTCAGCCAACGCATTGAGCACTGTTTCAAATCGTTTGAGGTCTGTTGAAGATGAACTTGTTTCGCTCGATTCTGCTGCAACTCCATTGTTTTCCTGAAGTTGTTGAAAGCATCGATTGCTCTCCCGTTGGAATATTTCAACTTCATCCACAGGTTTATTTGCCAAACGCATTCCAACCATGTGACGCTGGGTGTCTTCGTGTAGTTGCTGAATGAAGGAAAAGGGTTTATAACTATAATGACAAAATTATATAATTTAGAAAATAGTGGTGACCCACTGATTTGTCACTCCTGGATTCGAGATAATGAAATTTAATAATATATAAGCTCCGTCTCTGATGTAATTGATATGACTTTTATAGGTATAGCGTACCACTCGAATTAACTTCAAGTTAGCCTAATTTCCAGATAGTGTTTCAAGACCTATCTAAAAGGAATTTAAATATCAGCCGTCAATGGACGTAAATAGTTGTATCACTTTTGGTTTCAGTCCATCGTTTATTTAAGCGAAAGCAGTAGATGAACGTCTATACTATATGTGATAAGGACTACCCCCTGTTTTGGGTGTGGAGGGTGGCGTCGGGATGTTGTTAGCGATACCTTCATTCAGATAACTATTACTGCCTGTCTGCAAATACAAACGACACTCAATCGTCGTGCATATTACAACATGCCATTCCAATTTCAACATTTATCTTAGCCTCCATTACATATTTTTATTCATGCTTCACATGATTGTATTTTAAAAATACCTCGCAAATATTTTCTCCACTTCCCATTTCAATTTCGAGATCAACAATTCCAGACGATTTTTTCAACTTTGAAACAACGGATACAGCTGAATTCTATTACTAGTTCATTACTCAATCAACTTGACGCAAATAAGTTTCTTCATATATATATCATTCATTCTAATCGAACTGTCCTTTTAGTGACCTAAGGCTGATGGTATCACTAGACTCCGAATGACGATCTAAAGCAGTAACGCCACATCTAGATTACAAACATCCAAAATATAATTGGTTACTGAATGACTTCTCGAATGACACAGAACTAGTTGCTGAACAGATCACCAAATTCCAGATCTCTCCACTCCTTCACGCAGTTACTGGCCCATTACATAACCATACCAGCCCTCCATAATATCCCTAATATGTTCAGCAATATTTGATTAATTCCAATTATTTAGTCCTTTATTAGTTTTCGCTATAGTATCACTAACTAATAGATATAATAAGACTTCTGCTAATCCAAGCAATCACAAAACTTAGTTCTCCAAGAGACAAAAGAAAACTAAAACAGATAATAGCAATGTAATGGTATCGACAAATATTTTTGAAGCATTTTTTCTATGAGTTTCGCAAATATATAATTCCCGTTTAACAGATGGACCGTTTAAAATTATTCGCAATTTTACACATCTTTGATCGTATAAACGCCTATGATTAACAACATAGTAAATGCATAATATATATGAAACACATTTTAATTTATAAGTGTTCGTAGTACTCAAGTTATCATTTAATAACTGCGTTGTAAGAGTGCCTTGCCAATAAACACGATCCACAATGTATCATACCTGCATAAGCTGTTGCCTTTCAGCATTTGAAAGACTAGAAAGAGATGTAGGTAGAGATTGCATTGTAGCTCTCAGCAGTCGACCATGAAGTGACAGCTCAGCGTCAGCCCATGCCACTTGGAGATCTTGGAAATGCGTAACAATATCCTGAGCTAATGTTTTGGCCTCTTGACAAGGATAGGCTGGCAAGAAACAGACGGATGGGGCTTCCATTTCTTCACCATTTAATCGTCTCAGCTGTAAAGTTGGACCGTAGCATAAGAAAGACCAATTATACTTGCAAAATCCCAAAAATCAGAAGCCTACCTTGAGTCTAAATGGATTCAGGGCTGTTGATATAGTCATTCTTTCAGATTTTTCGAAATTCGCTGAAGGCCATGGTACAACATCAACATTACTCTCCTCTGGAGCCAATTCCATGTAATGTGGTTCGCTGTTCGGAGTGAAGAAGCAGATAGAAGTCACAAGTTCATTGGGATTATTTGGAGGAACCAGATCAACGATTTCATCACCCATTCCAATCAGCTTATCTACTATGAAACTTTGTGTACGAATGGCTTCGCCCATATCCTAAGAAACACATTTGAAAGTTTATGGAAGTCGGGATGGACTTTGGTTAAAATTAGATTCAGAATACTTACCACAATTATTTGCATGAGTTCCTTTGCAGTATCTACGGAGATTTTCTCGGACTTCGACGCTTGATTGACTTCACAAATTTTTTTCTTCTTGGCTGTTATGAAAGATTCTACTTCTTTTGCCTCAGCGAAGAATTGTTGGTAACGGACGGTACGATTCAATCGGGTTTCAAGACAATGTGTGAGTTGGAGAAGCCACGCCCAGTGACTGTCCAGGGAAGTTAGATAGGTCTATAACGAAATGACAGATTCTTAGGATTCATTACCATGAAATGAATCATCCAATCAACTCTTTGAGAAGTACTTTCACCAACATAGGAAGAGATATTAGAACTACGTTCCATTTCCATAAATCGGAAAGACCAAGAAACTTATTCATTTTGATAAGTGTTGACAATTCTTGACCTAGTTAGAAGGAAGGTTTCATATAAGTAGTTTTATTGAAAACTCGCTTTCCAAGGACCCATTGCTGAACTAAAGTAAGTGGCAAAGAAAGTCGTCCACTTCGATTTATGTGCACTAATTTTCTGACCACGGAATTCACAAACATGAGTGTTAAAACTAATATCAGAACACCCATTCCCCCACTTTCAAAAGATTGGGAAAATATGAATTCAACCCTTCCTCGGTTAAATTATATTTAGAATTTCGAAAAAATGAGTTAGAAAGAATAGAAGGGACGAAAATGTAATAATAAACCACCATGGACAATATGGCATCCATATTTCAAGAAACCATTCTTATTGAATTGAATTTGGTATTATAGAAAATTATGAAAGGTTGCCCAAGTACAATTCATTTGTATATGGAATAATAGATGTCTTCCCAGGAAAAGCAAAACGATGTTATTTAACATCAAATCAAAGTGAAAAACCAAAATGACATCTTGAGGTAGCTTTTAACATTGTTTAGTCATTGAGAAAGTCCTCAACTTCTCTTATGTTCCTCTTTATAATTTAACCCCCATCAGATTATTGTGAAATTAAGATCAACGTATAGGTGTTAACATTTCGAATAAAGTCGATAACATTGGTGTAGGTAAGAAATCCCAATTAACTCATAAGACTTAACAAAGTATTACGACTCATTCGCGGAAAGACAGTCCTTTTGAGTAAAATCAAGGTTGATGAGTTCAAGATAGGACCTGATAATAAGTGGTAATTTCTTTACCTCCGAAACATCAATCGTTAATCATTAAAACCTCGCTGACTGTCTTATATCCTTGAGTCACTAGAACTATGGCGATCGTTGGGTATGGCAATAGTAGGTGATACAAGGCTCCTATCCTTAGTTTAATTCCCATTTAACAATATTAGTATGTATCAAAAATTTCTAAGCAAATCATGAAAGCATCCACATCGACATAAACCAACCTGAATAAGATCAAAACACGGATGTCCTTCAAGATGTAAAGAAGATCCTAGTGTACTGATTTCGTTGAACTTCTGTTCCTGAGATTGAATTTCTCTGAGTAGACCCTGAAAAGTATAGGAAGCAAGGTATTAGGTAGCTCGTTTCATTGAAAGTTATTGAAATAATAAACTGAGAACAACGAGTAATGACATTCAATTTTAATAACATTGAAAACGATCAAATTTCCGTTTGGCCAATACCGACTTATTGTAAAAAGTGGGGTTAAAATATTAACAATAAACAACACGTTGAGCCGGAACAAAAACACTCACTTGAACGAGATTGAGATTGGACTAGAAGGAGAATTTAGTTAGAAGAAAATGTGATTCAAAATGACAAAAATGATAAAAGGTTGCATTTTCAATCTTGTCCAGATGCTTTATTGAAGTATTTCGGTGATTTTAAGGAACTAACGAAAAGGTGTTTCTAGTCGAAGCGTAGTAATACTCAACCCCTCCCCCTCTCCCCCCATGCCGTAGGAATTCAGACTCCATCATCAGATTAATCAGGAAAACTCCAATTCAACCATGAATAATTACGTTTAAATTACTGTGGGGCTCAATTTACTAGTCAAACATTAAAATTCTTTAAATACATGCATCAATTAAATGAAAATCGAACTTTAGTGAATATTTAATTTAAAAATTTGCACTATCTACTGCAGCAGACTGAAACTTTTGATTGCATTGGGATAAATAGAGAAAGGAGAAGATTATTACCCGGAAGAACTCATAAATTTCCGATGACTGAAGAGCTTGGGGTGAGGACCAAATTCGAGTAACTTCAATGGTCTCTTTTTCACGAAGCCACTGCAGCGCATTGCTGGCATGCTCGACAAAGACACTGAGTGATCGACCGAAGCCGAGACGTCGTGAAGACAGTTTCTAAAGGCAAAAATAAATTCCTGATTAACTATAATACATAATACAACAAATTAGCAGAAAGGAGGCAAAGGCAACACTCACCAATAAATCGGCATACTGACTTTCTACTTGATCCAAAAGAATAACGAAGAACTTGGCTTCATCTTCAGTGACTTGAGATCTCAAGAGGTGACACTGTTTCACTTCTAACTGGAAGGCCTCAATCTCTTTGTAGATTAGCTCGAAACGATTTGTGGCATCAGCAATAGCTAGAAATGAGTAGAATAGTAGTTTATATTTTTTGAAGATTTATCGAGCTTAAAATTATTATTAAGGGATGAGTAACGAAAAGAATAGAATTTCCGTGATTTGGCAGTACTTCTAAATCGAAATAACTCTAAGTCCGAAATCATTCTTTCGATATTACGAATTAAGGCAAAAAAGTCTATTAACTGGAAGTTGTCTTCTGATTTTAAACTACCATCACCCCACTATGTTATATTCGACCCCTAAACACAGTACTCATCTTACCTTTTCTCTGTCTTTTTGTCTGTCTTTGTTACATCTGTGAATCATTATTCTGTCCCCTCCCCCTTCTCGACTTTTTGTCACTTTGGTGTTCCCCCTCCTCGCTGTGAAGCCCGAAGTCAGCTAAATGGCTAATGATAACTATCAAAACGCCTGCCATTTGAAATAAATAAATAAATAAATATTACGAATTAAACTTGATCATTGCAAAACAAACCAAAAGAAATTTCTAAGTTAAGGATTTATTCAGTGGTTTATATAACATCGTATTAATCGAATAAAGAATGCGGTAAAATGTATTCCTTGAAGAAAGATGCTACTAAAAAATTGGAAGTAGGTTAATCTAACAACCTCTTCGGCCATTTAGAAAATGCGCCAATACGCAGACCAAAGTGGTAGAACGATGGCCAACAATTAGAATATGCAACATACTCTACCATGACCTCATTTTGGTAAGACAATTGCTTTCTTTTAATGTTACTCTTGTAACATATTATGCACTTTATTTCTATATTGCCTTTAGAAAACATTTATCTCACTAATTTCAGCTTGTAAGCTTCAAATACAATTTTTTCCCAATGGGCAACGTGTGATAAAATCGCGAAAGCTTGAACACTCCTCTAAAAATATGCGATATGGCACTGATACGGCACTTGTATAACTTTAAATGGTCATTTAAATTTCGATTCAAAAACGGTATTTTTGCAATTTCAAAAGCCGTTGAGAAAAATTTTTTTGCAATTACGAAGAAAATTTTTGTGCTGACACCTCGAGATGACGAAAAGTATGATTGACGAAAAAATACAATTTGGATTGGAAAAATAAAAAATCAGTTTAATTTTGGTCAGAATAAGTGAAGATAAATATCCTTTTTATAAGAATACTCTTAGTGAGACTTAAGTGAATTGACTAATGATAAATATAATACAATTTATTGAATATAATAACAATAAATAATGGAATTCGTGTAATTATATGTTGTTGCACCTCAATCACATGCAAGCTTTCATTAAAATTTATTGACTAAGAACAAAAGTTTTGAAGGAATGAGCCACGATGGAAGGTAAATATAGCCGTATTTATTCAAAATGAAATTTGATATCAGATAGATGATGTCTTTTTATTTTCAATGGAATTTGCGAGAAAATGTTAGAAAGAGATTTGCACCGTTAAGATAAGTTAATTAAACGGCATGTTAGATCAATTATCTCTCTTTTGTCTGGGAAATGGAATGAACTTAAAAAAATATGTGGCTCGTGACCAATATTTCAAATCATTTAAGTGAATCTGCATAACATAAAAGATTTATTTATATCAAATGGCAGGCTTTACGATAGTTATCGTTAACCCTTTAGTTGACTTCGGACTTCACAGAGGGGAGGAGGAACATTAAAGTCACGGAAAGTAGAGAGGGGAAAAGAGAGTGACTCATAGGTGTAAAAGAGACAGACAGACAGACACAAGGGTAGAGAAAAATGTAAGGTGAGGATTGTGGGAGTTGAAAATCGACTCCCGGTTTAAAGACTTTTTTGTCGTAAGAGTATACGTTGCCCAGAGTGTACCATGTGGAACAAAATACAAGATCAAGTTCATAAAAAATAGCATAAGTGAACCATCATGTCTCTATAATAGACTTTTTCACAAATACCAGTCGTGTAACTCGAAAAAGGTACCTTGATAGATGTAAATGAAAAGAGAATTATTTTTGAAATAGATTTACACCTAAATATTATATTTCATCAAGTTTAATGAAGATTCATTCAAGATTGTCATTACTATGGTTTAGTACTAATCATCTGATTATCGATATTTTACATTTAATCCTACTACATAAAAGTATAATTTACATAAGGGCGATTTTACAAAAAAGTGTTTTGCTAATCAAAATATGTGCTTTACATTCATTATCTATCTGGATGCATCGATCACAAATTGAGCGAAATTGTGAAATGAGCTCATTTTTAACCGTATAACGATGGTAACGGGAATAAAACATAACATAAGATATTTGAAAATCCCACGTAAACTTGAACCAATGGTTACATTGAATTATTTTTAATCTTTGTTTTTGATTGAACAAATGTCACCTCAAAATAATCTTCAAACCTCTGTTCTTGTTTACTAAGTTTAAATTAAATTCTATTCCAAGAAGAATATTTGTATTGCCACGTACTGATCATGAAAGCATTTTTTCCATTTATTAGACTGGAGGCTTACACTTTCTATTTTCTCCAAAGGGTGCTTTTTCAACCGTATTTTTCTTTTCTTGAATCCAATCAAAAGCAGCCTGCAACGCTTCAGTATTTTTGTTTCTTTCCACCAACCACTTTAAGCTGTAGCTACTGCGACCGTTAGGCATTTCCATCATGCTCTCCCCATTGGTTCGCGAGGGTTGAATTCTATCAGCTGATTGGGTCATTGAAGTGGCCTTGAGGAAATTTCTCCATTGACGCTGTAACCCGAAAAGACGTTGGTGCAATGTGCATACTCTGAAAGTGAAAATTTTAGGTATGATGAGTTTATAAATAGCGAAAAAATTAAATATAATAAATGTCTTTAAAATAATTTACTTTATTAATAGAGAATAAGATTGACCAATAACAATCCAGCTTTTTGAGAAAATCATAGCCTTAAGGGGTTTGAGCAATTATAAGACAACTGGTTCTTCTTTTACTTTTGTTTTTAATCCAGATACATAAAATACCTAAAGTTAAGTAATTTAAGCTAATTTATTATAAGGCTCTTAGTTCTTAGATAGTATTTATTCTATAAACCAGATACCAGTTCAAATTTGCAGTGGAATACGATGATTATTGTTCAGTAAACGCCTGGAAACATTTCTTAATTTATTATTTCAGAATTTCCTTTCAAACACTGAAAGCTTTTTAACAGAACTGATGTAGTTGACCCAATACAATTGCATTTAAAATTTTGAATTTTCATCAAGATAACAGAAATCACTGTAAATGCATGTGAAAATTTTTAACAAAATCTTTTCCAGTAACGGTTTCAAGCATTTATTGGTGTTGGAAAAATTAGCCAATCCCATTGGTTTAATTGGTTTGAAACAGCAACATAATAAGATAAATAAAAATTTTAAAAGCATTTGTAATTATAAGACCTTCAGGTGATTAGGTGTTCCAGAACGTCCCGATTAATTTGACCAACAGAAATTATGAAAACCAGATACTTGTCCGTTCATTATCAACGAGGAAGAACCTTCATGGCAAAATTCAAGGTCACATATTCGATGATGGAGCATTGAATGCTTATGAACGACATGACAACATCTATATTTTAATCATAATTTTAATACTTATTATCAATTATTAAAATAAATTATTGATTATATGGAGCAAGGTGCAAGCAGCGTCAATTTAAAGCTTTAATATTGTCAAACAAATGAAAGCTAGCAACGTAACAGATAAATTTAATTTCCTCTAAGCTTTCTTTAACTTCGGGTACCATTTGAAGACAAAATAATTGAAGTTGCAATATTAAATAACGTTATTGAGCATTTGTGTTGATAGTTTAGTCAGTAGGGATTTAACAGGTTTCGAGTACAACTTACTTCCTGTAAACCTGCTCTGTTCTGAAATATCGACCATTGCGGAGAGTTTGAACCTGATCAAAAAGATTATTTACACCGGTCTCAACTAATTTCATTTGTTCCATCCAACGTTTCACTTCACTGTCCATTTCAACTGCTTGCAACGATGCAAATTCGGATCCCATCTAAAGGTACAAATTTATCAAATTTAAAAAAAACACCATTTTATTATTGACAGTTTCCAAATTCGAAATAAAAATGACAATCGATTTTCCCTTAAGAAAGATGTGCCTGAAAGAGATTAGTTTTATCAAAAGCTTGTCATTTATTAAAGAAGACGCATTTATCGAGCGACATCATTCGATTAACAGGAACAAATTTTGAAAAACCCGTAATTCCTTTAATTGAGAATATTCGATGAATTATGCTTCCACTTGTACGCGTTTGCAAAGCCAAAGACTTCGGGTTTAATGTCCATTGATACACGCCCAGTGATCGAAAATGCAAACTTTGACTAGCAAAAGGGTGGGTGGAAGCAGAATTCGAGTTTTCCAAGGGAGAAACTACATGGTGCCATCCAATTGCACAAAATGAGCGATGGGAACACGATCCAGCATAAGCACGAGAACCATTTACTTCCTATTCACCAAAATTGCAGATGGCATTTTTTCCGCGGTTTTTGAAATAGATGACTTTCCGATGGTTTTGTAATCAAAATATTTAATTGCATGATTCATTCGCCTTCGTTAAAAAATGTACTGTGTTGAGGGGGGGGGGGAACTTAATTATTCCTAGTTCCCGAAGAAATTTACATACAGTGGCATTTTCTTGGTTGAAAATTGAAGTGTTTAATTTGCATTGTTAATGCGGATTGGAAATGCCACAAACAAGCCATATATTTCATAAGACGAAGTTCAAAAGTTTCAAAATAATATTTTAGGACTCATATATAATTAAAAAATCGTCAATCTCATCAAAACGTCAAATTGGAAGACTAGACAGACTTAATACTAAAAAATTAATGTAAAGGTGGTTAAAAGCTTGTCTTTATTTATATAAAGAGAAGATGCCGACGCTATTTGAAAGACCATTGAAAAATTTAGCATATCTGGATTTTAATTTTGTTTACGTTTAGGTATCTAATATAACATAACTTAGTAAACGTGGTAAGTAAAGTAGTTACAATTGTCAATACAACAAAATTTTACCACTGAGGACGCTAATAGAAGGCACCATATCAAGAGATCATAATCCAAGTCGAATAAAACAGACGAAGGTTAGGTTCTGTATTGGCTCTTCTATAGTCCCTGATATGCAAAAAACGACAATTCATTTGAAAAAGCATCTAACTATCTTCTCCTGCCTAATAGGACAGAAAGAATTATGGAAACGACATGACCAACAAACAAGTCCAATATAGTAGGAAACAATTCGGAAAGTCTTTTGACAGAGGGCTAAAACCCAGTAATCAAAATTCGAAACGCAAAGCCATCTTTTAGTGTGACATACAACTACTCTTAAAAAGATCCGATTGGTAAATTCGAAAAGTAAGTGAAATTGAACTCCTTTATGGCATCAAATATATTCAGCGCTCTATCCTACCATCTTTACGCATTGACATAATGGCTGTGTGGATTTTGACAAATTCCCAAGCCTAAGCATTCAGAAGTTGTTCAAAACTTTGGCTATTGCATTCCTAGCGCGTATATTTACAGCACAAAGACAAGCAATTGATATTTTGAGCGAGAAAAATAGTGCCTGATTTAGTCAAACTTTGCCCGATAGACTTGGAAAAGTTGATTAGTTGAAAAAAACAGCTTCACAGATGCAGATCAGTTTATCTACCACAAAACAGAGCAGTAGACCCGAGAAGTCTGTGCCAATCAGTACCTCTTTTTAAGGAGAAGTAGCGAATTCCGAATTCAGATTTTCATAAAAATATGACTGATATAAACCACGCAAAAGATGATGAAATTAAAAAAAATTCATAGAACTCATCATTAAGAAGGAAATCGGGCTTTAAGGCTATGTTTATAAGCAATATTTGAAATTATCTGAGTGAAAATTTAACAACTGCATAATAATGTCCTTAAAGAAACACTGGTTTAATCAATATCGTGTAAGCCTTTGAACTAGGTTTTTATCAAGAAATTACAATAACATGAATTCAGGATTGCGAAGATGACATTACCAGCTTCAGTGGAGTGAGAATTGAAAGCATAATCATTGAACTCTCAACCAATCTCTTAAAGTTAAGTAAAAAAATGTTGTAAATCGATTGATCGTCACATTGAGAAATTTTATCAATGACATAAAGGGGGTTACTTAGAAAAGCAAGCATATTGTAATTAAAACATGATCTATGAAGATTACCGAAGGAGTGTTGAACTATCATTGATGCAAACAAATAACGAGATATCTCACAAAGGTAAAAGATTTTGAGGTTTTCGCACATAGGTTTAAAGGGAAAATTTGATGGAATATTAGTACTAGAATAATATTTTGCTTGAAAAGTCACTAAGATCACGTCTACGTATCATATACCTGAGTCACTTTACAACACGAGCAGAGAGAATAGGAGAATATTCAATTAAAGTAAAGGTCAAATAGAGGAGCGAGATTTAACACCTTAATAATTGCAGGGTTTAAATCCTGAAAATAATAATGGCGAAGCACAATAAGAGATGTTGGAGACGGTTAATAGACGAATCTAACCACCGCCTACGCCAAGAAACGTTATGAATGGCATTTGAAAGCCCTAAAATAGCGTAGATGATGACATTGGTTACCAGTAAAGTTAGACTGTAAGTTTCTGCAAATAAAATTTGATCTATTTCAGAGACTGCTCTGAATGGCTAATTACCACATTTTATAAAGGATTACTCAGCTACTCAGAAACACCCGAGAAATCAAAGCCAGAGAATAATAGATTTCTCAACACACCTGCACACCATAAAATGCTAAATTTTTGTGATTCAGATAGCACATTTCTTCCCATGTGCAACACATCCCGTTCGAAACAAAATAAACACTTCCGACTGCACTAATTTATGCATGAAATAAATCATAAAGCAGACTTCAGATAAACAAAGAAATTCAGAACTTATTCAGTTGCAAGATTTTACGTGAAATTTCCAAGAAGGCAAAAAATGGAAGAATTTTAAACTAATTTTAATAGTATATCAATGTGAGTATTACCTCGTTCATGCGTTTCTCAAGTGCAGCTTCCTGAGTTTGCAGCAAAAGGCATTCGCGTTCGATTTTTTCGCCAGCCAACTGAAGGCGTTCAAGACGGGATAATTCGGCTGCAACGGCCATCTCGCGCTTTTGCAGAGCCAGTTCATATTCCTTCCACAGTCGGAAGATGTGCTCAATGTTCATAAATGGATCGATTGCCAAGAGATTGGCGTCTGCTGCACTCTGGGGGGAAAAAGTCATTTTATTTAAAATAACTTGTGAATTATGGTCAAGAAATAAGAGACAATGACTGCCAAGGTGTTACCTTTTTCTATGACCAGATATAATTCCACGACAATCAAAAGCCCGAACAACCGATTTCCAAATGAATATCTCAGTTGACTCCTTTTTAAAGCATTGAAGTGAAAACATAAGCTAACTAACGCCATAATGAATGAGAGATAGAAAATACTTCCCATTATCCCTCTGGTAATAAGACTTAGGAAAATGAAAATCGATAACCGGAAATGAGGAATATGATCATCAGGTTCTGTCTTTTTAATTAAACAAGTCAATGTGGAATCTGTCTGGGTACGCGCAAATCAGGATACGGAAATATATTTTCATGCCGTTTGCCGATTATAGTCAATATCTTGATCACCATACGGCCCTGTTATGCTCTTGGCATAAAAACGAAATATTGATACAGATCTTATAATTCCCTACGAGTCAGAGCCTTAAATCGCAGACATTCGCTAGCTTGAAAAATTGCACTTGTAATGGTTTTGTAAAATACACTGAAATTTGGAGAGAAATGAATGGTTCCTACCTACATTTTTTTTCAAGAGAACAGAATATCCTTCTCGGGTCAGTGCGTTTGACGCATTTTTGATATAAACAATTTTTCGAACCACGAGACAGAATCTATAGTACTCTTTCGACTCCCGCCATAACACATTAATTATGATTAAAAAAACGCATGGAAAGGGGGCAATTATAAGCCTACCAAACATTATTTATTTGCCTCTTCACAAAAGCGGTAATTAAGAGCGAGCGAAGCGACTATTAGTCACAGACATGCTTTTACAAGGTCATTAGTCATATTATCAGCCAATCGAATTTGGACTTTAGCCCAGTTTATTTTCGCTTATGGGAGCTGAATGCCAAGCTCTAACAGCCGCTATTCATTCGCGTAACTTTAAACAACAAATTCCTCTCCGGTCATACAGATGTTATTTAGGAAAAGCTTGATTATACCTTGTTTTTAGTTACATACTGTTTGGCGTAGCGAACACAAATTGTATGTGCTAGAAAGTTCTGAGTAGCAAATTGGAAACTGACAGGGATTCTTTAAAAGCTATAGAAGTAAAATGTTATATTCTCGGCAAAATATGCACAAAGGCCATTTAATATGCGTGTAAGAATACTAAACAAATTTTATGAAAAAGAGTGGAAATTTTCGAGAAATCCAGTCCCTAGCTACGAGTAATAACGATTTGAGCTAATTTCATTAAAATATTGTTTACATTTCTATCATTTTAACAATGATTCTATTTGTTACTTGAAGATTAAACAATACCAAGGACAATTTAAAAATTTTAACTTTAAAACAAATAATAATTTGTTGAGGTTGAATCGAATAAAAAACAGTGAACCACTTAAGGTAAATAGTTAATTTGAATTCGTAAATACCCAGAATGAGGGATGGGTAAAAGGTTGAAGAAAATTTCTTTATAATTTAAAGAGGGAGTCGTTTCAAATTGAAAAATCAGAGTACAATTCGTATTTAAGGAATAAAATTAGGTTCTCTGAAAAGAAATTCACATGGTGGATGGGAAAAAACCTTTCTTGGCAAACCAAATTAATAGGGAAGCGTGGTTCTCAAGGTCACAATCTATGTATATATCATATTAGAAGTTTCTAGATTGCTTTTTGCAGAAATAAAATGGTATTTTAGTTGATTAAGCCAATGAGGATTTATAAAATTCGTACCTGAAGATCTGCGTAGAGTCTAACCAACTGTTGTTTCTGTCTTTCCCTAAGAGGTAATTCTTCTCTCCGATGGCGTTTTAAATCCGCTACAATCTGCTGTTGCATGGACTCCAGATCTGCTGGAAAGTGTCTCACTGCCATATGATCACAGGTTGCTCGAAGCCATTGAATCAGCTCTGCGGCTAGTTGCCGATATTCCGTCCACAAAGCCCTCAATTCCGCGGAGACGTCTGAGGCTGATGTCAGTTGAGACCCTAGAGGAGGAGGTGAAAGTGAGACCTCTACGTCGACTGGAAGAGGAGGAATTGGAAGAACTTGACGATAACCAGTAATGAGGTCACGAGGAGAAAGAGCCAAAGTATCGTAGAGGGAGGAGACGTAGATGATTACAGACCGACTGTCAACCGTGCTTTCAGTTCCGATCATATCTGTAAACATTAAACATGGTTTAAATTATGCTTGATATTATAAAGGAAGTGATATAACCCATGCCTATTTAACTCACCGAAATCTCACCAAATTATGTCCCACAAATGAATTCAATCAATGGAAAGCAGGGATGTCTTTTTCATTACCAATCAGAACTATTTTCAAACTCCAGTGACGTGTTATTGAGCGCCAGTGCAACTAAGAAATTTGTAAAGCCAAGCATTAACCCTGTCATTCGGATATAAGTTAAATGTACTTCCTCTATGTAAAAATTCAAACACCGAAAGCAATTTAATTGACTGGCAAGATTCAGTTACATTAATTGGGGATAATAGCACTTGGAAAATGGAACGTCACTCAAGGCAAGAAAGCCCGATTCATTACTAAATGTATTTTAGAGCAGTTTAATGGCGCTTGCAGGTCGCAAACTGAGACGTGTAAAATTTGAAGAATGAGATAGTACCCATTGACATGTATTATAATACAATGGAAGAGGGCATATTTACTCCAGGGAAATCGATATATCAACATTGCGGTTCTGATATTTACCAATCAACAGTAGGCCAGAAAAAGTTATCCCGATTATGTCCTTGTAAGTTGGTTAGTGCATTCCTTCATGCGTGTCAAGTGTGTTAGAACTCCGTTTGGTGCATAACAATAAATCAGCAAAGTAATTTAGACTGGACATTTCATGATATAACAGCAAATTCATATGGCAATAAAGATCATTAGGATTATGTGTGGTTTACAATATTCCATTTCAGGTGTTGCAGACAATAGGCTAATGATCTCAGCAAGACAAATAGGGAGAGGTCAATCATACTCAAGTCACCGTGACTCAAAGGGGTTTATCGTGTTGACAGACACTGAGAATCCAACTACCACAAAAGACATCCTCTCATGATCGTCTACTACAATTTTCACAAAACACAGAAATTGAGAGAACATTAGTACCAAAAATACAATGAAGTAGTTAAATAAATCACAGTCTCTAATGAGCCAAAAAACCAAACTCTCTTATCAGCCAAAGGAGAAAATACTTCTTTAACGTGAGAAGTTACTCCACTACGTGCTAAAAATATAGTAAATATAATCACAGTTATTGATATCTGCAATTTTCCAATACTTTAATATTTTGCGTATATTAACAATAGCTCATGTGTAAATATATCGACGTTTTTATCCATCCACAGCAGGGCTACCGACAATCCTGAATGCTTATCCGTTGATAATTTTTCAAAATTACCCTATTCAGTATATTGTCATACGGCAAAAAGTCTATAACCCGGCAGTTGACTTCTGACTTCAAACTACCATCACCCCACTGTATGCCATATTCCAACACTTTCACAGTACTCACCTTTACTTTTTCTCTACCTTTGTGTCTGTCTATCTCTTTTGCATCTGTAAATCGCTCTTCTGTTCTCCACACCTCGACTTTCTACTACTTTGATGAACCTTCCCTCTGTGAAGCCCGAAGTTAGCTAAATGGCTAATGATAGTTATCAAAACGCCTGCCATTTGAAATAAATAAATAAATATTGTCAAGGGTTTGCTGAATATGCACTCACTCAAA